TGCTTCCCCATTCCCTACCAGTGAAATGTTGGTTAAACCAGCCTTCAAATTAATCAAGCATCTAGACAATTTACAGCACTGCCCAAAGAATGATGAGGCAGCAGGTTTCCCAGAAAATGAAGGAAATAAATAAAGATGGTATTTCTACATAATTTTGGCATAACAACCATTACCAAGGGTAAATGTTTTCAAAATGTGACTCAAAGGGGGAGTTTTCAGAGAAGAATTAAAAAATTGTTTTAAGGCTCAAAAACTGTAGACATCTGATGGTATACTAAAATAGTTCAATTTATTTAGCTTCTTGCAGACAAGATGAAAAGATATTTTACTCAGCATCTCTAAGAAAGTGTGAAGGGGAGTGACACCTGACACTAAACATTTCTTTCATCTATCAAGCATAGACACAAAGTTAAATGTTGAAGTCTGAAGAAATCAAACTGTAAATTAAGTGTAAATTATTTGCAGGAATGGCACTTAAACACTGGCTTAAGTGCCACTGTAAGACGTGGCCAAAGGATATGGCAAATTTTCTATCATTTGAAGTCTTTAAAACTAGATAAAATGTGTTATATTGCTATGATTACTTTTTGGGTTAGCTGCAGAAAATAATTTGGTGATTTTTTATGGTTTCTGTTAAGCAAGAGCTCAAACAGTGCTCATATTCTGTTGGGGCTTCAAAACATAGCAATCATGATAGTTAGGTATGATTCTATAGCACCAATAATGACAGGAGATGAAATTACAACCTCACTGAAGTCTATGAGAAAGTCCCCACTCCCTTTAATGAGACCAACATTTAATCTACAATTGTAAAAATCTTTTATATATTCTTTACATTTAAGATGGGGATTATATGCAGACTGCTTTGCTCCACTTCACCTATTTTATTTTCTAGCTATAATGTTTATCATTTTATTTTCTACTTCAGATTAGTTTTGAATTAATTTTGTAGGATTTACATTTTTAAAGCATCTAGGAGTTTGCAATTGTTACCTCTTGTCAAGTTGTGCAGAGTTCAAAATGGAAATGAGAGAACGGACTTGCAAAAATTCCGTTTATTCTTGATTTCATTTGGGTAAGGGTCAAATATTTCATTGATCATCTTTCACAAAGATGGGTATTTCTGCTGCTTGCCTTTGTTGAAGCTGGAAAATGGAGATCTGTACAAATATATTTTCTAGATTCTTCTCAACCTTATGAACAGCTGAGTTCAGGTCAAGACTTCCATAAAGCTTCATAATTAAGCTCACTTTGAGTAGAGTCAGCAAGGAACATTGTTGTGTGTAGCTTCTTTGCCACAGCTGGACATATTTTCCAAGCATGACAGAGAGAACTGTCAGCTGTCCTTCTGTGTGGTCTTAAGATCAGATGTGCAATGGTTGCTGATAGTTGTCCTGCAAATATATGGATGGTTTTGGGACACCAGAGTCCTGAAGAAGTCACTCAGGTGTAATCCTTTTCAGGAACAAAGAAGGCATTATAAACTGTGACTTATAGCCCATTACTAGAAATTACTTTAAAGCAGGTATGGAGAACTGGAGATCTGCTGAGAATGTAAAAGTGTGGAAGCTGAGAGGCCCAGCCTGTCTGAGCTTTATTCCACTGAAAATTAAAGCACATTGTATTTGTAACTGTTTTGTAACAGGCTGATCTAGCTGTGGGCAACAGAACAGAAAAGTCTCTGATCCAGGTTCCACCCTGATTTTGCTCTGGGGACATGCACAGAAGCAGGAGATATGAACCTTGCACTAGGGATGCAACTATCACAGTTTTTTAAGGTACAATTTAAAGGCCGCTGGAGTCAACGGAAGGCCTTTCAATTACTTCGATGGGCTTTGGATCAGAACCTCTGCTAGGGAGCCTTTGTCCTTGGCTTTCTTAAAAGAAGATTTTACTGGTGTGTGAATAGTGTTAATCACCCATGAACACTTGCTAAAGAGTGATCTGGTTTTTATGATATGGAAAATACCCTGCTGAAGCATGAAACCTTTTAATGAAGTCAAACAAAGTAAAACTTGCCCTCCATAACCTAAAGCTCAGTTCCTGAAATATCATTTACTGGAATAATGCATTCCCCATCTGTCAGCTTGGGCTTTTTCCTGCCACAGGTGAACTAATGCAGCCTTGGACATGTACCATGGTTACTGGTATCTGGTATTTTACTAGAGGCAAGGGATATGAATTGTTAATAGCAAATATTAATTTTGTCCATCTCACGGAAACAACAGAAAATAAGCACATCTTTGGCCCTGAATTTACGTAATTTGGTTTTCCTGACACCTAAATCAGCTATATATCCTTAATCTTATCCTTTGAGAAACTAGTGGCATCACAACTGAGAACTTCTTATTTAATGTAGAACTAATTATTGGTTAGTCTATAGTCAGTGAATGTATAAACCTGAAATATAAAAGCCATCTGACAGAGTTTTTGCTACTATCTTTAGTCTTGACTGTTCTGGTACGTTCAGGATGTAATGATAATAAAAAACATTCACAGTAAATATTCTTGTACTTGTTCATTACCTTATGAACAATACAATACTGTGGATTTGTTGATTTCAAAACCCAATTCAAATTGTGATTTTATCTAAGTAATCACTAGTCTCCTGTCTGCCAGCATCAGATGAGGTCTCATAGAGTTCATTAATGAGTCTTTTTCTCTATTCATATATAAGTGAAATTCCTGAGAATCATGATAACAACTCTGGTTCACACAGTTCATATGGTAGCAATTTATTACCTGTCTTCAGATTTTTTAAAGCTCTCTGGCACTACGGGGTTATTACAACAAGTTAGAAAGACAGGTATTTTAAGTATGAAGTCATCGTTAAGATCTCAGAAATACTGAGTGCTCTTGAATTGAAGCTTTGATGAGAAATAAATCCTCCTTGTGACACTTTTATGCCATGTAGAGATGAGGAAGTGTGAGCAACAACACCTGGCAAGCAAGCTGTCTTCTTTAAAAACAAGCAAACCAGCTGCTCATCAGGTTGGAGAAGGATTTAGCAGGAAATAAAAGTCTGCTCAAATGTTTCTTGCTCAGATCTGCAAGAGAAAACTCATATTTTATGATTTGTCCTCTGGATACTGAGAAAAACTCTCTATATTTTGTATTTTCAGGCACCATGAAGAGTTTCTCTCTAAAAACAGGTCTCATTTTCAAGTGACCAATCTACTTGACAGATCCATTTCTGTTCATATCAAATCTCTCATTTAATGAATGTAACCTAGTGAGTAATAAATCAACTAAAGATTAATAAACAAAATTTGACAGAAATTTTCTCTTTCTGGATACAGTAGTGGTAGGATTTCTGGATTTTCTTTGTATGGGTTGCCTCTTCTCGTATTCTCACATGTGTGCATCAGGTAGGTCGTCCCATTTAATAAGCCTCAAATGTATCTGCTTTCTGTTTACATAAACAAGATGCATTTAATGCACACTAAATAGATTAAAAAATTTTTACCCTAACAGAGCAAGACTAACCAAAATGTTTTTGGCTCTTCAAAGCCCTAGATAGGTGGTAGTCTCATAAAGCATTGGAAAAAAAAATTGTTGGGAACCAAATGTAGGTGAGTTGATACAAGGCTGGCACATTTAACTATGTACATATTTTCCAACTGGATAAAGCATCTAATCTGATCCCTTCAAAAAATAATTTATTTCATTTTACAGCTGCCTAAATCAGCCAGCTATGACTCCATAGGAGACATACCATACTTCCCAGAAATAGAAACATTTAACTCCAGAGGGGAACCTAATTGTAGGTCTTCTTTAGCTTCCATTTAGCTGTAAGACAAATACATGCAATAGCATGCAAGACAGACACATATATCAATATATACCCCTCCCAACCTCAAAAAACCCAAAGCGAGTTTGGATGTGTCACCTACATTTTTTTTTAGGTTATTTGGCATTTAGTGAATAATTTTGTGACAATTGTACTTCAATGAATTCAGTGTTATTCTGAGTACCAAGAGCCTCAGTCAAATGACACTGTAACATGCTGAAAAGCTTCCTTTTCATACCTTGAAACAATAACTGTCAGGGATTTATTTTAATCTCTAGGTAGATAATACTGTGATGGCTAGTCTTCTTCAACTTTTGACTTGGCTTTTGACTTCCCCTTTTTGTATTTAATTTGTTGTTGGTTTTGGTTTGCTTCTTATGAGTAACAAATCCAGATTAATCTACCCCATTCACCTGACTCTCCTGACACCAAAACTGTTCTCATACCCTGCTGCAATCTCCATGTTTGCAGATGTGACAAGCAGAGAATGAAAATAGTGTTCCATAACGACCACAGAGAGGAAGCTGCCTGGAAACATTGATTGTTTCTTGCAGCGCTCCCCTCAGTTATTTAAACAGTATTATACTATCTCAAAGATTTGTAAACTGAGATATGGAGAGATGAAGTTCCTACCTGTGCTGTTCCAAATCCTAAATAAGCCAGAGCTATGTGCTTTCAATAATACTCTCTGTCCCAGACACCTGTCATGCAAACACTTAAGCATCTGCTCATCTTTGCAGAACAGCTCTTGCAATTTCACTGGACTGCAGGGTAAATTTAAATTTAAAGACATTCTTGTTTGTAGACTCAGGACCTATGGAATGACATTTAGCTGCATCATGCTCCACTGCCATGTAAGATGCTGTAGGATATCCCTCCTGGCTTCCAGCTGCTGCTCCAGAATGGCACAGGTTTGTCCTAACTCCCATATTATCTATCAGCCCAGATGTCTCTGATGCCCTTGAGCATCTACAGCGACACCTGTATTAGCCCAGCTGTCATCACACTAAAATGAGGAATTCAGAACAATATGGTGATGCAACAGAGGGAAAGAATAGATTTTGTTAACTCCTAGGAGTGTGATCTGCAAGCAGAATCTACTGTATTTTTTATTTCCTAAATTGCACTGGTCTTTTCAGATGAATGGAGACCATCAAGAGACAAAACGCTACAAGCTAAGAGTAATGGAACCAAACAACCTGCAGCTTACCTGCAGTACGATGTCCCGTCCATTCCGTGTGATGTTGACAGTGTGGGGCTGTCCATTAGCCATGTTTCTGTGGTCAATATCAATGTTATATGGGTCTTTGGTGCCTCCAAGGCTGTACCGAATCTGCAGATTCCCTAGTGGAAGAAAAACGTGAAAAGCACCCTCAGGTATTTTGGTCTTTATTCACCAGTTATTTCCCCCTCTTTATTTTCATACAGAGCTGTTATCATTTCACACTTAATTGCTCTCTTAGCTGGTCTCTGCAGTGACAGAAGAGCTGGTGTTTGAGATTATAAAGTTACTGGGCTGAAACTGCCTCTAGTTTATAACCCAGGAATGTGACAATGACCAGCATCTCCAAACCAAAGTGTTTGTAAACACTCCAGTCTGCAAACCAAACAAATCAGAGCTATGCCTTGAACAATATGGGCAGTTGGTACAAAATTGAGCACATCAAGTAGCACTTTATTGTTGAGATTATTATACTTGCTGCAGTAAAATTCTTTGAAATTATACAAAGCATAACATTTTCTTAAGAATAAACCACTGACATGAGTTGAGTAAAGGCAAAATTACAACAAATTAACACTGACACATAATCTACACAAGGCACTTTCTTGCTCTGCCATTTAATTCTTGTTGATGGGTGACCGTCTGGACTTTTATGGAAATTTAATAATATATATATGGTGAAATGAAAATGTCATGTTATATTGTTAGAAAAGTATAGTCAGAAGTGATTAATTGATATTCATGACATACTACCAGACAGATTTTTCTTTTCTAAACAAAAGTGAAGCGTCTGCTCTTCATAACACATTTTAATATTTGATTAAAAGGAAGAATGAAAAGGGAAAGGCAGATCCCATTATAGATGAAAAATGGAAATATTCTGGCCCAAAAGAGCAGCCCTAGACCTTTGTAACTATAGTTAAGTTGTCTGATGTTGGATTTCTCTCATGTACCTGCTTTCTTCCCCATGAAAGGAAAAAAATTAGTGGCATGTGGAATACTCATATTATCCCATAAAAGAGAACAGTAATAAAATCATACTAATTATGATTTTCATGGGGCACTAAGGCACTATTTGGAATTGAAGTATGTTCAGTTTATATGCAGTTTTAATACTCTAGCAGCAAATGATCCATATCTAACCCTCAACCATCACCAAAACATTTAGGACATTATGCTACATCCATATTTTAGCCACCTCAGTGAATATCCAGATTTTCAGGACAGTACATGACCCTTTTCACTGACTACTGGTGATATTACCATGAGTTCAGCTATTCGGGTGCCTTCATGTGGATGCCTACTTGTCCCCACTGTAATGCTGGTTTGTGGCAAAATCTAGTACAAGTAGGATGCAGGTTCAGATTTCTAAGTGCTTTATATTTTCATGTCAAGGGGGAAGAGACACTAGTTCAGAGCTTCATCTGATTGTCAGCCTGGTGTTATCAACTGTGCAATGGAGAGAGCCTGGAGCAGTTGCTTACCAGTTGGCTTCACAAGCACAGCCATGAAGTCCTGGGTATAGGAGCTGATGTACAATAGGACACAAGGGGACTTGGTGGTACTGAAGCTGAAGCTGAGCTCTTCTTTATTCAAGTTGAGGTCAGGTGATGCTGTGATCTCAGCATCTGTAGAACTCAAAAGTGTTCGGCTAACTAAATCCTTCATGCTAGTTCCTGGGGAGTGGAAGTTGTAACGAAGCCACATTCCTTCTTCAAAAAATGCTCCAACATCTTGAAGAGAGCAGAAAAACGGAAGAGGGAAAAAAGAGAGAAATTAAATGTGTTGACACCTTTTGGATGAAACATATTACTTCTGACTTGATCAGTACTAATCTGTGCATGCTTCTACTGCTGCATTATTTAATCACTCTGACAACATTTAGGTGAATAGGCTCACTATTTCCCTGTGAGAGTGAAAAAAACAATCTCCATTTTATTGTTGGGTACCTGGATTCAAAGAGCAAAGGAAAGATTTCCTTTGGGGTACACAGAGGGCCTGTGCCTATATCTCATATCAATACTACAGACAAGTAGAATTACACTATAAATTTATTCTCATTAAAATCTTGCAGTAGATACTGCTCCAGAGAAGGAGACACAAGGAAAAGTGATTTAAGGTACACGGTAAGCAAACAACTGTCAAGGAAAAGGAAAACCATCAGTACTGGTGAGCAAATTTGAGTGGATTTGGAAGGAATGATGACAAAGGAATGGTGACAATTCCAGAACCTGAAGGATTTGAAATAGGATTGGACACAATAGGAGAAAGTTATCGACCACTAATACAATCCTTCATGAGAACTGCATAATCAGGATGCCCTTATGGGAGATAAAATTAACTAGGGAGCTTGACTCAGCGGGGAACAAGGCAAGAGACACATGATCTGTAGATCCCAAGAGGTGCTACCCAGGCAAAGTTTTCAAACAAATATGAGACAAGATGGGATGTTTCAACACTCCAGACAGAAAATAAAACTACTTTTGGCAGAATTAATACTTTCAGCTGAAAACGCATGGGACAGCAATGCAGTCCTACCTATTTCTTAACATTAAAAGCATAATTCAAGGTTAATGTTCTTACAGTGATGGTTGATTTTGACAGCCTCCTATGAAAATTATTGCTAAGTGGTCTAGCATTGGTAGTGTATAACCTGCTATATTGGGGATTGCCTGACTGACTTCCTATAGTAATAGTTCATTTGCTGACATTGTGGTCCTGGATTGGTTTTTCTGTTTGGGACAACAACATTCAAGGAAATTTAAAAATTGTATGTGAACTTGATTAAGAAGGTGTGTTTATGAACATTTTATAAGAGATTAAATAATGATGAATAAATAGTATAATCACAATATATGAGTATTGTATTTGAAGAAGGGTTATACTATATACCTAAAGGCATTAACAGTCTTTAAACAAAAAGTCTTCTATTGTTTACTGCCTTCTTACAGGATGCAGTTTGCCACAGATTGGTACAAAACTGTAGCATTTTGAATCTTCACACAATTCTAAGCAGAAACTTTATCTCAAACTATATGAAGAAAGATGCCCATTTTCCAAGCTGTGCAGTGACAGGGAACAAGTCAGGAAAGAGCCTGCAGAATTTATTCAGTGGTCTAGCAGAGAAAAGGTAAGAAGATAGGTAAAAGTATAATGGACTTTACTGATGCTTCTTTCAAGAATTTTGCTAAATCTAGTACTAGAAAAGCTTTAGGTTTTCCTGTTATCGCATAAAAATTCTCCAAAACTCAAAATATCATAGTCACTTTCACCATATGGATGTATGAAACATGGAGCCAAGTTGTAGTCCCGAAGTGCTATAAATAATTCGGTCATTATGATAAATTTATAACTGCAATTTTATAGGAGAAAACTTAAATCACCCTGAAAAAGTTATTGAAGAGGCAATTTAATTTAACAACTATATTTTACAGTCATGGCTAGGCTTCGCGAATGAAGATTTGAGAAGGGCTCTACCCATACTTGCTACAAGCGCGCTGATGGCTAAAAAGGCCAATGCGAGATAGACAAGTCCGGTTGCAGAAGGCACAGCAGAAAAACTCCCCAGGTGATATCGACGAGACGTGATTCTTTCTGCGTTGTCTTTTCTCCTCGAGAGTGATCCTGCGTGTGTTCTCAAAAGCAGCAGCAGCATTATAGATGGTGTGTCTCCAGGCCTCCCGATTGGAGGCCAGGGTAGACCAGTGGTGGTGATCAATATGGCCAAGGCTGAGGGATTGTTTCAGGTAGTATATTTTACAGTAGACTCAACTTAAGTACTCCTAGATTAAAAGTGAAGAGCCCCATCCTAAGAAAAAATTCCTTGAATTGTGATGCCCTCTGCCACTTAACAGTGGCATTGAAGACAAGTACGCAAAAATCTAAAGCACTGTAATTCCAGGTATTAGAAAGACTCACTTAAAAATATCCCTGTGACCAGTAACTATATTCTTCTTTAACCTCTGCTCCTAGCTCATGCAAGTTGCTTCTCAGGCAGATGCTGTATCAGTCATGTGGCCATGGCACTGGCAGAGCTGCTGGCCATTGCCAGGTCCTGGCTGTTTGACACTGCCCCTAGGGAGGCAAACTCATACAAAATTATGTTTACCTCCAGCCTGTTTACTGCTTGTCATGCCTTTTATTTTAGGAGCAATCTTTGGGATTGCCTGGCACTACGCTTGCCCAGGGCCTCATGCTCTGGGAATACCAGGACCTTCAGTCCTGACCTCATCACTGCTCTGGGGCTGAACTGGAAACTGTGCAGAGCATTTTTCCAGGGCTCTAAATGTTACAAATTTCTACTTTTAATGTTCATTACTACAAAGAAAGCTTTAAGTAAATGTTGCTGTCTGAAACTGTATTCAGAATATTCTGTGATTCTGAGTCAGACTCGATGATCCCTATGGGTCCCTTCCAACTCAGGCCACTCTATTCTATAACTTTATTTTCCAAAAGGGTTTCACTACAGAGCAAAAGTGTTCTGTATGTTTAACTTGATTTGTGCTGAGAAAATAGTTTTCATTGTAGTTGTATTATTACAGGCATACAGGGCATTGTAATGAGCCATGAAATTCTCCTCACATGCACACCACCTCTTTTAAAAGGAAGGATAAGAGGAAGGTTCACTTTGGCTGTGTGAGTGTATTGGGCCCTCGATCAGAAGATGTTGAATCCCCTCAAGTTCCAGCTCATCAAAGAGGTTGATGCATGTAGATTATGCTCTTTTCTGAAAGAAGCTGAAGTCCTTGCAGCAGTGCTCCAAAGTGCTCACTTGGAGGTACTTCCTGAAGCTCTGCTAGATGGAGCATCAAAGTCCTCAATCCATAAAACTATTCAAGCTGCATGATTAAAGAGGGTCAAATGCAGCACAAACCCTGCTGCTGAAATGTGGGGGAGGTTTCCATGCACAACTCTTGTTTTCTTCCATAATATTTCAAATGCTACATGAAAAGACAACTCTTGGGACATCAGGCATAAGGTGTAGTGAAGGGTTGCTCTACAAACTGCCCTTTCAAGGCAGAGGCCTTAGGGAAATTATTGTGCTGGTAACAGATCAGTTTTCTTTAGAAAGTAGTACCTATTTCTACACCAATATTCAGTGGAGTCATCCTCTCTTGACAGACTTGGCAAATTTAAAACTTTGGGCCTGCTCTGTAGAGAAACCCAGAACAGGAATTGTGGATCATTAAAAACAATGTTATGAAGCACAGTGCATGTCCCCAGAATGAACTGCACGTCTTACAAAACTGTCCAACTTCAGTTTGAAAAAGGATGAAGTGAAAGCTGATCCAAATCTTCCACATAAAATGCACAGGTACTCAGAACTGAGAAGCTTATTCTGAAGGTTATGATGTTCTGGTCATCTCCCCAGCCTCCTTCTCCCACTCAGCTACTTTTATTTTTGTACTCTCTCATTCTGTCTGGAATCAGGAGTATTGAAAGACTGGAGGAAAAAGCCAAATAGCAACAAAAAGCCCCATTTCTCCAACAAAACTTGCAGAACCTCATGACATTTCTGGGCCAGTGCTGTAGACCTAAGAAAATGTAAGTAGGAACATAATTCTACTTTGCTATTGGTTTAACATCAGTGAAATGTCAGTGTTGGTTCTTCCATTCTAAGGTAGTTATAATGATTCTATTAGCCATACAGACAGACACACAGAGAACTTGTCTTCTTTCTCCACTACCTTTTCCTCATCTGTGAAAAGCACTGTCAGCATGGCACAGGTGTGGCTGAACACAGCTTGAGCAAGATTTTCTACCTGGGGGCACATATATACAAGAGATGCAGAACTCACCAGGCTTTACAGGAATTGAATTTGCTCTGTGCTGACAGTTGGGATAGGAATGTTAATAGGGATTGTCATGAATCAAGTACCAGATATTACTCTTAATAAATAAAGAAGCAGTAGATCTGTTGAGCTATCAGAAAAAAAAAAAAAAGAGTGCCACTTCCCCAGAAAAGCCAAGTTTAGACAAGGAGCTTTTAAAGAGTGGTATCATAAGGAGTAGTAATCTCCCTTCTGCAGTAGGACAGCTGCCATCAACTCCCAGCTGCCATCAACTCCCAGCTGCCATCTCTTATTTTTCCATGTAAACTGAACCTGACTTCTGTCACCTTTTACCTTCGGACCACGGAGAAAGTAATGCTGGTTACTTCTATGGTATTACTCTCTTTGGCTTTTCCTGAGGCTGAGTCTTCAAAGCAACCTTATTAATGCCCATAACAGGATATACCTGCCTTACAGAAGTTGGAGACAAAATCCTGACAACTATGAAACTTGCCAAGAACATGAGAACTGGCAGCAGAAAAAGGTTCTCTCCTCTTCGTTTCACAAAGCTGACTGAAATGTCTTCTTACAGCCATAAGCATGTCCTATCTGGATGCCCCAAATGCCTTCTTGGCCCTGCTCAGACTCTGTACATTAAGACTATTACCCTGTGATGTTGCTTGCTAGTCCTCATTGGTATGTCTTCCCTGCACGATGTTCTGGATGTAAAAAGCAGCCTTTTCAAAATCCTAAGCAAGGACAGTCATTGGAGAGGTTTCTGACACCTGATACTTGTACAGAGATTCTTTAGACAAGGAAGACAGCTGAATAAATCCTCTTTCTTGATGCATAATTTCTTTCTTTTTTGATTTCTCATATAGTTATGAATATTGAATATAGATTAAGCAGAGCTTGCTTGCTCATCTTGTGGCTAAAAATGTGCTAGGGAGCACCTAAAATTG